GCTTGTGGAGAGAAACCGGTTACAGGTTTAATATCAGAGACACAAAAGCATCTAACATCTGTTCAAAAATATCATGCAACAGAAAAGAAAAATGTTATCCAATGTTGCTGTTATAACTATGCTTTTTACTGTAAATATGATCTCTATGATTTGTCCTAAATATGATCTTTGTCGTTGCAGATGTTTTGCTGACTATACTGGAAAACATTGTGATAAAAAATCATTGGAAGAATCACGTGGTAAGTTTAATCCGAGAATTAGTAAAAATCGGAAAAGCTGCGAAGCTTTTTCTTTGCATCCTTCGATTATATGTTACCGTTTCAAAAAAATACTGAAATTATGAGCTTTTATCATTTTTACAAACAAATACTCAAGCGTGTTGTCCGTTAATGGTTAAAGTCTTCTCCACAACAAGATACCCAGCCAGTAGTAACTTTTTCCTAAAAAAGTGTTCATAACAAATGATCACAATGGGAAACTTTATTTATTTTTGATTGTGCAGACGAAGTCCTATTTTTACTCTACTAATAATATTTACGCATTATTTTTATACTTTTGTTTCTCTGTTTCAGATAACGAGCTGATCGTAACTATTTTTGCTATCACCATATCAATGACTGCAGTAACTATGTTCGGTATAGTTTGTTGGCTCACTTTAATAAGGTAATGGTTATATTTATTAATATCTCGAATGTCCAAATTCTTTGAGAATGAAACGTTTTTCTATGTTCACTACGTGTTTGGAATTTATTTTAGAACTTAATTATATCATATATAATTCTTTGTAAAAGTTGATTATCATATCATAGGCGAGGCACTCAAACTATAAAAAAAGTGTCTTAATGCTTGAACATGGTAGCAAAATTTATATCATAAAATATATCTCTAATTTTTAAAAATTGATCATCAACTGTTCATGATCATCACCATAATCCAGAAATATTTTAGATTTTTGATTTATATTATTTAGTTAAAAATATCGTGAGATTAAGTTGCCTTT